GAGAAAAGAAAAAGAAGAAGAAGAAGAAGAAGAAGAAGAAGAAGACGAAGAAGAAGAAAAAGAAGAAGAGGAAGAAGAAGAAAAAGAAGAAGAAGAAGAAGAAAAAGAAGAAGAGGAAGAAGAAGAAAAAGAAGAAGAGGAAGAAGAAGAAAAAGAAGAAGGAGAAGATGAAGAAGAAGAAGAAGAAGAAGAAGAAAAAGAAGAGTAACGCTAGAAGTAAAACGCTATGATTACAAAGGATAATTTTTCTTGGTCTGTTGTAATACAGTTCTTCTAGAAGTAGAACTGTTAACATTTCATCCAAACTTATAATTAAGCTTTCGAGCCTGCAACAAAGGCAGTACCACACAACACCTCACCACATTATATGACGAACACACACACTACAAATCTACACCACACACACATACGTACATACGCACATACATCCATAATAATTTAATCATTTGTAATTAATCCATTTATCGATCAGTCAGTCATTCTATTCTGGTTTGAAATGATTTGATATATTTTTTAATAGTTAATATTTATCACGGGAATATGAATGCCGTCAGCTGTTATTCATCCATTAAAGGCACATTGAGAATATTTACAATGAATATTTCACTTATAAATATGTTTTAGGCAAATTGGGAGAACATTTTGCAAACAAATTTGAAACAATTGATAAATTCAAACAACTTTATACAAAAAAATTTGTGAAGGGTTTGATTTACATTACAAAGACGAATAAAGACATTCAATCTAAACTTCACCATGAAACTAATCATAGCGCCTGCAACAGCATAAACATGATACCAACGAGATACAGAAATGATACAAAAATGATACAAAAATGATACAAAAAACTAATACAAAAAATGAACGAAAAAAAAAACAATGGAACATGTCGTGCCATTCAAACATCCATTTATTCGTTCGTTCGCTATTATGCCGACATGTAATTTGGAAGTTGGAAAAAATTTCCCCACAACAATGCAATACCTATTATTCTCTATCCATAATAATATAATTTAGCTGAATAAATAGAAGTGTAA